TGGCTTTGAAACAGGATGCTCAGATCTCAACCTCTTGAGTAGCTAGGATTATAGGCATGAGTCACCAGTGCCCAGCTTACTTTTTTTTGAGTGTTTTTCACAGGGCTGGGAATGTGGTTTAATGGTAGAATGCTTGCCTAGCATGCATGAAGCCCTGGGTTCAATTCCTCAGTACCACATAAACAGAAAAAGCCAAAAGTGGCAGTGTGGCTCAAGTGGTAGAGTGCTATCCTGGAGCAAAAGACCCTCAGGGACAGTACCCCGGCCCTTAGTTCAAGTCCCAGGACTGACAGAAAGAAAAGTATTTTCACTACAAACTTCAGGAGTAAGCAGAGTAATTCTGTTCAGCCCCAGCTAAAGGGTTATTTAAACATGCTTATTTTTTCCTATTCTGGTTGTCTCTCTTCACAAATAGTTATTAAACATTAAGCTATTTTTTGTGTCAAACTAAGAAACTAGATTTGGATGTTATAGTCCTTTTCAGTCGATGTTGCTTTTTGTATATAATGGATGTGTTTTGGCACTGTAATTAATATATAGCAGCAATGTTTAAAGACATATATAAAAGATGTTTCTTTTTTATTGCTTTATTAAGGTTAAATTGACAAATATTTTACACATTATATTGGCTACAATATAATGTTTTGGTATATGCATACCATGTGAATTTATTAAAGCAAGCTAATTAAAATATCATCACCTCACATACTTTTTTTGTGTGTGATGAGAACACACTTAAGACCTACTCTCTTCATGTTTGTGCCAGTAGTGGGGCTTGAATTCATGCTCTTGCTTAGCTTTTTCTGCTCAAGGCTGGTATTCTACCACTTGAGCCACATTTTCACATCCAGCTTTTTGCTAATTAACTAAAGATAAAAAAATCTCCCAGATTTGTCTTCTCGGGCTAGCTTTGAACCTCGATCCTCAGATCTCAGCCTCCAATAGCAGAAATTACAGTAAGCCACCAGCACTGTGGTTAAGAAAGTCTTAATAAATGATGACATGTTTCATTTCCAACCTAGTATCATTTCAGCAACACCAGATTTCTTTTCAAGGGCAATTACTTAACCTCATTTTGAAAGTGGCATAACATCTACATTTCAGTTTTGTAAGGACAGAGAGAACAAGGGCAGTTGTCACTCTGAACACTCCAGATAAACTGTCCAAGAGCATTCACGGTTTTCTTTTCTGAAACCATCTGCTGTTTCATCCTACTAATGTTCCACCCGTCACCCAGTTGCTCAGGTCATAAATGTGAGAGTCACCATTGATTCTGCTCTTTTTCCTGTAGCTCACTTTCAATCTATCAACAAATCATTTGGCTCTATTTCCAAACGATCTCTCAGATCTGATCCTTTTTTTACCATATCCTGATGCTACCGTGCACTGGTCTACACTACCACCATCTCTTTGTTGTAAGGCCTCTTAGCTGGTCTGCTCACCTCAACCCTTACCCTTTTCAACCAAATTCTTTGCATTGCAGCTGTGCTTGAACATTTTTAAAACCATTTCATCAGGCAGTGAGCCTTTACTCTGGACTCTCATTCAAGCAATTTAGTTTTCTTTCCTGAACTGCCTAAGCGATGGATCTCTTCTAAAAAAAAAAAAAAAAAAAAGCCTCTTTTCACTAAACAACCAAACAAACAATAACAACAAAAATAAGTTGTTTCTCAAAAACTTTGATATGAGTTCGTATTTTATAAGTGTAAGGAAATGTGGAATCCTTTCCAGTGTTAGCAAGGTCTGACATGACCTGAGCCTGCACACTTCTAACCTCACCAACTTCCACTTCTCCTTTGACTCACTCACCTGGTACAATGGATTTGACTTGAACACACCAAACACTCATCTTTCTAGGCCTTGACAGATCTTCCTTATGAACTCCTTGGTTGGTCACATGGTAATTCTCCATATAAGAAGTATTATTTGGCCTCCTAACCAAAACAAAAAGTTTTCTCCCCCCGCCCGTCATTCTGTCTTATGTTGCTCTAATTTTTCTTTATAACATAAGTTTCTTCCTTAGAATGTTACTTCTTTAAGATATTATTTTCCTCACTACTCAGTCTAGGGCCTTGAATGCTGCTTGGTACACATAAGATGGCTATTAATATTTATGGAGAGAAGGTTAGAAGGTAGCTCAGTGGTAGAATACTTACCCTAGCATATGAAAGATCCTAGGTTTGAGCCTTAGTGCTGGAAAAAAAATAATAACTGTTAGAAGAACAAATAAATACAATCTAAACTATCAGGGGCTGGTTCAAGAGGTAGAGTGCCTGCAGAGAAAAATCAGGACCCTGAATATAGATATGTTTAACTAACTACAAATCTAGGGTTCCATTTCTCTTCAAAGTTTTTCCTTAAAAGAAATTATTTCATCAGTACTATTATTTCTTAACTATAAAATGGAGACCACAAGCCAAGTGCCGGTGGCTCACACATATACTCCTAGCTACTCAGGAGGCTGAGATCTGAGGATCGCAATTCAAAGCCAGCCCAGGCAGGAAAGGCCATGAGAGTCTTATCTCCAAGAAACCACCAAAAAACCTGAAGTGGCGCTGTAGCTCAAGTGGTAGAGTACTACCCTTGAGCTGAAGATCTGAGGGACAGCACTCAGGCCCAGAGTTCAAGCCCCACGACTGACAAAAAAAAAAAAAAAAATGGAGACCATATATAGCTGAAGTTGTCATATAATAAGAATAGTTGTAACTACCATTTACTGAATGCTTACTGAATGCCAAGCACATTTAATCAGTATTAACCTATGAGATGGCTACTGTCATTATCACTGTTTTATAGATGAGGAAACTGAAGCTTACAGAGCTCAGACTTCCTCAAGTTTATACAGGTAGGAAGCGTCAAAACTAGGATTTAAGCCAGTTGTATCTACCATCAAAGTGTAAGGTCTTAAAACACTAAAATATGAAAGAAACACTATATTTTGAGTTTGGAAGTTTCCTTATAATAATTTCTCATAACCATAAACCTAAGAAGCAGCACACATTGACATAATTGGCTTTTCTAGACACAAAAAGCAGTGACTTCTTATATAAATATTATTTTATTCATTTCTACCATACATATAAACCTTTTAAAAGTTATTCATCAATATCACTTTTACTCAAGTGTTCTTTTAAATAATGATAATAACAATTGTGTGCCCGTAAAATTAATAGGCTCCATTTGAAGGGCTTTGCCTTCATTATATATTCCCCTGAAAAATAGGTATTACCTGTGTTTTACAAATGAGGAAACTAAAACTCAAAGAAACTTAGTAAATCTCTCATACAGCTGCTCAGAGATGAAGCCAGACTTTGAAATCAGATATTTCTAGTGCCAAGGCCAATGTTCATGATGTCAAGAGATGACCCAATCATGAAACAATTTGAGAGAAAGTCACATCACAATGTCCAATGAATACAAAGAAACCTGTTCTGACTTAGAAAGCAATTCAATTTTTATCCTTACACCCAAGTATATCTAAAAGCTTCAAGTAAGCTGAAGAAATGGTTGCCTTACAAATGATTAATTACAACAGTTGCTGGTTGTAATCAGTGTATCAATTACACTTTCAAATTGGAAGCATTTTTGACCTTTACTTCATATATCTCTTTTCCACCTAGTTGATACACAAATAAGGAAATATTTCAATTGAGATATCAATTCACTTTTATATACATTTTTGCATACTATTCACCATTCTACAAAATTTTAAATAGCCATAATGTTCTAGTTAATGAGCATATAATAATTGAAGTCATGTTTTTTTTTTTTGCTATTGGGCATAGTTACAGTTTTTTCTTATGCTATTATCCATACCATAATGAATATCTCTGCAAACAAGTATTTGTCTTTATCCAATTTCTTTGCCTTCTCAACACTTTTTTTCTCCCTAGTACTGGGATTTGAACTCAGGGCTTTGCCCTTGCTAGTTAAGCACTCTATCATTTGAGCATGCCCTATTCCTTTTTTGACATTAGTTGTTTTTTTGGATAAGGTTTGTTTTTTCCCAGGAAGTTCTCTACTTCCTGAGTAGCTGGGATTACAGACATGAGCCACTATGACCAATCCTTTAATTAATCTTTTAAAAACAAAACAAAACACTATAGACTTTATCCAAATAAATGGCTCCATTGGGAACAGTTTCAAGCACTGGCAAGCATGTGGAAAAAAATACTTTGTTGTAAGTGATCCTTGCAGTCAGCTCTAATTGCCCTCTCAAGGTGACTGCCTACTTTGCCAAGTGGAGGTTAGTTTGGGATAGGACCATCGACATTTGGGAATTAAGGAAGCCCTTAAGAAGCCTTACATGTGATGCAAGTGATGCTTTCATGTCAGGAAAAAAAAGATGAATGGACTAACACAGGTTTTGCCATAGCATCATTAATGCTACAAAGGACTTTCATTATATTTCCATATGCCACAGAATCTTAAAGCCAGAGGGTTTTAGATTTCTTTCTTCTCCATCTCTCTAGCACAAGGCCCAACTCGTACTAACAAACAATGCCAAACAGCCTTCATTCCCTTATGGTCTCTGATTGAAGGGGTGGAGTGTGAAGCAAGTCAAGGTCAATGGGAGGAATACTGTAATCACCGAGCTGCATCTATTTGGAGAGAGAGAATTAACAGCTATGACTCACAAGTTTGCCATCCTTCTAGTAAATGTTTGAATGAATACATGGGCATGATATTAATAGTATAAATTCGCCTTGCTTCTTTTATTAAGAATTCAAAACTATTCACTTTTGAATAGGCAATACACTCGTGTACTAAAATTCAAAAGTCAGGAAAGGCAATTCAAATCAGTGGAGATAAGAGTCCCGAGGATTTTTCTGCCTAGGCTGACTTTGAACCGTGATCCCTCGATCTCAGTCTCCTGAATAGCTAGGATTATAAATGTGAACCACCAGTTTCTTGACCCTTTTTTTTCTTTTTTTAAGAAAAGATCTTGCTATGTAGCCCAGGCTGCCCTCCTACTCACGATCCTCCTATTTTGTTACAGCATGCAAGACGACAGCCTAGAAGCTTCTACATCCATATCTCAACTTCTAAGAGAAAGCTACCTGGCGGAAACTAGACATCGGGGAAACAACGAGAGGAGTCGAGCAGAACCTTCCTCCAACCCTTTCCATTTTGGTAGTCCTTCGGGGGCTGCTGAAGGAGGAGGAGGAGGAGGAAGCCAAGATGACCTTCCAGATCTTTCCGCTTTTCTGAGCCAGGAAGAATTAGATGAAAGCGTCAATCTGGCCAGACTGGCCATCAATCACGACCCTTTGGAGAAAGCCGATGAAGCTCAGGCTAGAAAGCGCCTGTCTTCCGAGCAGCTGAGGCACCCCCCGAAGTCTAACTTTGAGCCCAACTTCTGCCAGGAGAAGGCTCAGAGGCCGAGCAGTCCGAGAGAGAGTCCCCAGGAGACAAAGCGGCCGCCGTACAGCTCCGAAACCCAGTCGAAGAAAGTATTCCTGAATAAGGCGGCCGATTTCATCGAGGAGCTTTCCTCCCTCTTCAAGGCGCACAGCTCCAAACGGATCAGACCTCGGGCCTGCAAGAACCACAAGAGCAAACTGGACTCTCCAGGCAAAGCGCCCCCCACGGAAGGCGGCCCCAGCCTCTCCGAGCTGTCGGAGAGAAGAGAGCGAGCGTCCGCCCCCATCCCCATCCCCACCGACGCCAGGGACAACGAAGTCAACCACGCTCTGGAGCAGCAGGAAGCCAAGAGGCGCGAGGCCCAGCAGGCTGCGCAGCAGCAGGCCGCGGGGGGCGATGCCAGCCCGGGGTCTTCACCTTCTTCTCTGTACTACGAGGAGCCCCTGGGGCAGCCTCCCCGCTTCACGCAGAAGTTACGGAGCAGAGAAGTCCCCGAAGGAACCCGAGTCCAGTTGGATTGCATAGTGGTAGGAATTCCTCCACCTCAAGTAAGGTAAAATGCATAAACGAAGGAAAATGTCCCCATGCGTCATGTTTGGCAAACTGCTTCCCATTCGCCTCTCCTAAGTATGACCTTTGAAGTAGGTTGTTTTCCACAACCCTGTGCCCCCTTTCAGAAAAGCAGTCAGTGCCCAAAGCATCTCTGTTCACTGCAAATACAATAGATGAGCCAGGGGTGTAATTTTGATGTTTGCTAGGGCTCAGGGTGGAGGGAGGGAGGAAGGGGATATGCCAGTACAGGGGGCTTGAACTCACGGGCTCATACTTTCACTTGACTGTGTTTCACTGGTAGATTGGTGCTTTACCACTTGAGCTACGCCTCCACTTTTAGCATTTTGGTGATTAATTGGAGATAAAGAATGTCTTGAATTTGTCTTCCTGACCTGGCCTCAGCAACCTCCATCCTCAGATCAGCCTCCTGAGGAGCTAGACTTGCAGATGTGAGCCACTGGCTCTTGACTCTCTGATATTTTTTGAATCTTCAAGAAGACCAAACAAACATGACAGATATAGATGGATGAAGGCTGTAATTAAAGTCTGATTTTACACGTGTTTATTTTAAACTTATTATTAGCCCTCCCTGTTTCCCCAGTCTTTCCCCAATGTCCATGATAAGAAGAGGGGTATTTATCTTTTATATGTCTATCATAAGCAAGCTTCTTGTGAAGCAAATCAAGTATAAACTTCAGGGCTTCTGACTTGAATAAGTTGTGTGTGTGTGTGTGTGTGTGCGCGCATGTGTGTTTAAATATATGTATAAACACACATATGTATACATTTATATTTAAATTTTATTCCAGCAGTATTACAGTTTTTAATTCTGTGTCTTGTGCTTGCTAGACAGATTTTTTTTTTTTTTTTTTACCTCCAGCTCTGTCCTATACTTGTAAGGATCTCTTTTATATTTATGATCCCACAAAACCTGAAACAATCTTAAGGTGATATTTGCTACCTCTAAATTCTGTTGCAATAATGTGTGAATAATGTGGCTAGAATGTATCTCTCTCTCTCTTTTTTTTTTCTTTTTAGTCTGTTGTGGGGCTTGAACTCTGGGCTTGGGCACTGTCCCTGAGCTCTTCAGCTCAAGGCGAGCACTTGAGCCACAGTGTCACTTCTGGTTTTCTGGTGGTTCATTGGAGATAAGAGTCTCATGGTCTTTCCTGCCTAGGCTGGTTTTGAACTGTCATCCTCAGATCTCAGCCACCTGAGTAGCTGGGATTACAGACATGAGCCACCAGTGCTCGGCAAAAAATACATTTCTTTTATAGAGAAGTACTGATGTTTACAGTCCTCTAAGAGGACTGTAATTGTGCTTCTGTAATCATCTAATTGCTATTAGAATATAACTTCATTACTGTTTAGTATGTTTTCTCTGTGTGTAAACAGGACCTTACTTTTATTTCTTACATATTTATTTTACAGAACAATAATAATATAAATGGTAATATTTTTACTTATACATGCATGTCAATTCAAGGGATTCTAACTCAGAGAATATACATATTCATATGGGTTTTGAACTTGGGGGCCTCCCACCTGCTAGGCAGATACCCTACCACTGAGCCATACCTCCAGCCCCTTTTTCATATTGAATGAAAAGCATATCACATGTTATTTCTTCAACTGAATAGACCTTTACTATCAGATTATACAACTGACGGTCTTGAAGGGAGAGAGTTCTGCTGGTTTTGCCTTTGGATCTTGAACAGCAAGCATGGCTTCTGGCCCATAACTACTCACTTGGGAATGTTGATGTTTTTCTGAACATGTAAACCACCAGAAATCATGAGAGGAACCTATGGCATCCTCTCCTGAATGTGAAGCTGGCTCTGCTGCCTTTACTACAAGCCACCATTTGTCCTTGACGATGGTTCTTCTCCTTTATGAGAGGAAGAGGAAGAACTTTTGCAGTGTTAAAACAACAACAACAACAACAAAACAGTTGGGCTGGGCACCGGTGGCTCATGCCTGTAATCCTAGCTACTCAGGAGACTGAGATCTGAGGATCATGGTTCAAAGCCAGCCCGGGCAGGAAAGCCCATGAGATTCTTTATTTCCAGTAAACCACCAGAAAACCAGAAGTGGCATTGTGGCTCAAGTGGTAGAGCGCTAGCCTTGAGCTGAAGAGCTGTGGGACAGCACCCAGGCCTCAGAGTTCACCCCTAACAACAATAAAAAAAAGTTGGAACTAAAGAACATGGGGCCGTGCCTAGCCCTTCTACTCTAAATGTAACTGATGACCCTTCCTGGGACCCTGGTCAGTAATGCTTGTGAGATGTTTTTCCAAGAGCACTTTATGACATCTGGTCAATCTAAGTGAGCTGGTAAGCACTCACATTACAGCGTGTGTGTGTGTGTGTGTGTGTGTGTGTGTGTGTGTGTAACTAATTTATCCTTGCCCAACATACTAGTTTTTGGAAATAGACAAGTTTTTTTTTGTTTTGTTTTGTTTTTTGCCAGTCCTGGGGATTGAACTCAGGGTCTGGGCACTGTCCCTGAGCTTCTTTTTGCTCAAGGCTAGCACTCTACCACCTTGAGCCACAGCACCACTTCTGGCTTTTTCTGTGTATGTGGTACTGAGAAATTGAACCCAGGACCTCCTGTATGCTAGACAAGCACTCTACCACTAAGTCACATTCCCAGCCCTAGGCTAGTTTTTTATCCTTCCCATTTTTCAACCATGACAATCTTGAATATAAGAATGAATTCAGTGCACCACTGAACAACATCACCTAGGCACTATAAAGTACTCATCCCCCACCCCAAACAAGATAATCGGATAGCCACTCAAAAGCTACCTTATCAACCAAGTAAAACTTTACAAACTTTATACTCTGGCTCAAGTGGTAGAGTACCAGTCTTAAACGAAAAAGCCAAGTGAAAGTGTGAGACCCTGAGTTCAAGTCCTAGAAGAAGGGAGATGAGGAAGGAAATGAAGAGAAAGAGGAAGAAAAAGAGACAGAGTATGGTGGGGAGAAAGTTGCTTAAATCTGATTTAAATCAGGAGTGAGCTAGTTGGCCTAAGAGGTAGGAAGGGGTTGAAACTCAAGAACATGGGGTGCATGCCTGCCCTTCTATAGACACGCAACAAAATAAAAATACAAATCTATAAATTTAAAAGTAAAAGAAAGAAAAAATTTAAGTGAAATATATGTAGCTCCCATGTAACAGTATTAATTCTAGGTAGGAGGATTTGTTGTTGTTGTTTTTTGTTTTTGGTCGGTCATGGGGCTTGAACTGTGGGCCTAGGCACTATCTCTCAGCTCTTCAGCTAAGGCGAGCGCTCAACTACTTGAGTCACAGCACCACTTCCGGTTTTCTGAGTGGTTTATTGGAGATAAGAGTCTCATGGCCTTTCCAGCCCCGGCTGGCTTTGAGTTGCAATCCTCAGATCTCAGCCTCCTGAGTAGCTAGGATTCAAGGATTTGAGCCACCACGCCTGGCCCATCCCGAATTCTTATAGCATACACATCAGGCTGGGAGAACCAGAAGAGTCAAAAAAAGCTTTAGGGTTTCTATGGAGATTTTAGCTGACAATGGAAAACTAAAAAGGATTAAGGTAGAATTTAACTCATTTATTCATGCAAAGAATACTATTAAGTTATTAAAATCCTTCACCAAGACTACAAAAACAGTGTTTTGAAACTGACTTAAACCACTCTGAGAAGAGAGCTCTTGATCCAGTACAAAATACAGAGACCTGTAATCATATCACTGCAGTATGGTATAATAAGAAGCATATATAAGATACATTGGTGACTCAGATGAAAGTGTGAATTACTTTGTCTGGAGTTCAGGATAAACGGAGCACTAACACAAGAATTGGAGGAAACCGGAAAACAAGTGGAAAGGCCCTGAGGCTAGTATTTTCAGAGAACCTTAAGTCTATGTCAATAACATGAATGGGTAAAGAAAGATTAGAGAGGGGCTGGGAAGGTGGCTCAGTGGTAGAGCGCTTGCCTTGCATGCCTGAGGCCCTGGGTTCGATTCCTCAGCACCACATAAGCAAAAAGAAAAAAGCCGGAAGTGGTGCTATGGCTCAAGTGGTAGAGCGCTAGCCTTGAGCTGAAGAGCTGAGGGACAGCGCCCAGGCCCAGAGTTCAGGCTCCACTACTGGACCCCCCCCCCAAAAAAAAAAAGAAAGATTAGAGATAGAATTCACAAGTGGGTAGAAGGGAGTCCTTATAGGCCAGGTCAAATCAACCTGTTTATATAAGGGCACAGATGCTAATATTGCAGTAAAACTTTTATATGATGGGGAAGAGGCTGATCTAACTGGAAAGGAGAGCCAGATGATTTTGGAAGTCTTAAAAGCAAATGAGGAGCTTGGATAGTATATAAGGAAGGAAAAGAATGAAAGGGAACATATAAAGAGAACAGCTCTGAAAGGACGGGTTACATCAGAGAATGACGGAGTTAGGAGACTGTCTGGGAAGCTGTACATACAAGGTACCCCAGGTACTGGCTGCTGTGGTAGGACTGGGATGGAGTGCACTGAGCAAAAGAAGATGCTAGGGACCAACAGCATTTAGAAGAGAAGAAATCAAGCTGAACTTGGTGATTTACTAAATGGAAAGATGAGTTTGAAAGGAAGAGAAGGATGACTAGCTAGTACTCAGAGTTGTGGAGGAAGTTGATGGGTATTTAAATCTGAGGAGGTGGAGGGGACCATTTCCAACTGGGAACAGGGAATCTTCTTTCTGCCAAGGGCCATTTGGATATTTATAACATCCTTCACAAGCCATATAAAATTATCAATACAGGCAGACAACCATGGACAGCTGACACTAGCATACGTGTTTGTCCTGTCACGTACCAAGTAACTTTGAGGGCTTTATATGGTCTCTGAGCTGTATATTCCTCAACCCCTGCTAGGTATGCAGAAATGCAGGACCGAAAACCAAAGACACTGCTGAAGGAACTAGAGCATTTCACGGAGTAACCTGGAAACTGGGGAAAGTCTGGCAGGCTGTGTCAGTGCCCTTATATAAA